ATGAACAGGACAGTGAGGCTCTTGTATTGGAGAATGGCCCTCTGTGCCATTTATCAGATGCTTTCTTGAGATGAGGCTCTGCTTCCACAGCAAGGGTGTGATAAAGTTGTGTTGTTTTCTATGGCATTTTGTCTGGTGGCACACTATTTTGTTCTGTTCTGTTATTTGATGAAGGTTGTTACCTCAGGGTTTTCCTTTCTGTTTCCCCTGTGATATATAATTTGATTGTGAGGACTTATTTTTAGACTGTGCAAGTAGCCCCATCACTCAGCAAATATTCTGTTTGTCATTTTTTATCTTCCTGGTCTCCATATAATCCCTTTGTTATTATGTGCTTTGATGGTCAAATTGTCACAGATTCTGTCAGTAGGATCTCCTGTTGATAATGTTCTGGCCATGTGTTGAACACTGCCTTGCTTCTTATGGCACAAACTCTGGCCTTGGAAGCAGACATTATTTCTTCAGAAAACCTTCATTCTTAGTAGAGAATGTTACTTGGAAGTCCATAACTAGGCACTGAGGGTCCCCATTATAATTGAAGCATCTCTTATCATGGGCCTTCTCTGTCACTCAATCTAGAAACTCTGTGTGTGTGTGTGTGTGTGTGTGTGTGTGTGTGTGTGTGTGATCTGAATGTGTACATTTTTGTTTTATTTCTATCTCTTAGCTATGTCTATATGCCATTATTTCACAATTATATCCAGCTGGAATTCATTCTTGTTTCTTCCCTAACCATATTTCTAATTTACGTGTCTATTATCAAGACCCTTAGTTTCTGTTGCATGCCTAGTTATTTGACCACTTTGCTTGTATGTCACCAGACTCCTGTTACACTCCTTCCTTCCTATATGACTTCATTCCCTCACTCTGTTTGGACTGACATTTTAGATGGAACTGTCACCTCCTCCTACCATAGACTCCCTTCTCATCTCATCTGCTTGCATAGTTCCTGGCTGCCCTGCGTTGTCTCCCTCCTCTCATCTTTCCCCCATCTGGCTATCCTGCATTTATGCCCTGCTCTCATCATTTCCACGGCCAACTGCGTCCCAGATGATCTCTTTGTTCTGCTTGGCTTTCTGTATCATTGTTGTTGCTGTCATCACCTTCTCTTCTTCTTGAGCTCTGTAGCTTCCATTCTGTCTCTGTCTCTGTCTGTCTCTGTCTCTGTCTCCCTCTGTCTCTTTCTGTCTCTCTCTCTCTCTCTCTCTGGTGGTTTGCTGGATACAGATGTGAAATCCTATCCCACGCACAACCTCCAGCAAGATGGCTATCTTAAACCATCCATTTAGTTAAGGGAGATCAGAAGACCAAGAGCCTGACCTCAATTAGACTCAGTTCCTGAGGGAGTAGAAGGTTTTCATCCAGCCTGTGCCTGACATTCAGGCTAGCTGGTTTCTGTCCATACAGGCTATCACTGCTGTATGATGGGTAATGTAAGGATGACTGTAAAGTGGGCTGTTGTTAAAGCAGTATCTGAAACCCATGGCTGTACCACCTCCATGGGCCCACAATACTTAGCAGGCCAAGTCGAGAGGTTTCTGTGGCACTATTTTAACTCTTCTAACTTTGAGCTCTTCTGTGAATTGCCACAAAACAGCATTTCCCATTAATATGAGGACCAAGCTCCCAGCACTTTGAGAGGCATGTGGATCCAAGCTGGTGGCTGTAACGCAGGACTCCTCTGCTCTTTCCCTCTCTTCTGATGAGATAGTAATCATGATCCATTAGGATTCTGCATCACTCCAAAGACCTGAAGTAACAGTGCTTGGGAAGGAAAACTGACTTCTCCTACCTAGATGCCCTCTCTTGTGTTCATTTCTTTTCTAGACCAGAACTTCCTTGTCATTTATCATTTTAGTCCTAGTGCTTAGACTGAGTTCACCACAGAGTGGTCTCCTGGGGAGAGATGCAAGTACACCCAACTTAAGAGTTTGGGGCCCTGAAGGTGGCCAGGGAGTGCTTTATCTGATAGAGTACTTGTTTCCTGTGTCAACTGGGAGGCACTGTTTACTCACTGCTGACAGACACACACAGGATGGAATGGGGGCTCCAGGTCTTCACCTGCAGCATCCTGATAGTGCGGCCTGACGAGTGCAAGCACTAATGAAACAGGATGGGAAGTGCCAGCTGACAGAGCTCAGCTGTGAACCAAGGCCTTCTAGCTGGGGAAGCTGGGATGCTCTGAAGACAGCTGCAGATTGGTCTCAAAACCATACCACTGCCATCACTGGACATTGATCTGTCTACACACATGGGAAAACATATGGGGAACAGTTCTATCTGGTCAGACCAGAAGGAGAGAGAAGTGCCTGGTTTCCTGGGTAACTAACTATTAAGCAGTCCATGGCCAATGGTTCTGCCCACCATAACCAAAGGAATTGGTTTGGTGAGGCAGAAGCTGGTAGAGTGAAGTGGGCTGGCTCTGTGGGCCAGGCAGTCTTCACCAAATGAGGCTACTGAGGCCACAAGGTGCATGCCAGGCTCTGTCTGTGAGTTGACTAGTTGTCTCAAACTACTGTGGTATGTGCTGTATCTAGTCCAAAGCCTGAGAGAAGCAGGCTGCTTCCTGTATCCATTCACAAAAGGAACTGAGCTTTCTTTCCTACTTGTCCCTTTTCTCTTTCCTGACTTCCAATTGCTGGGTTTACCTTGTGGTATTTTCTTTCAGTCTGGGTTTGTTTACTAAGAGTCCTCTAATTTGTATAGTTTTCTTGGGACGGGGGGTTTCTTCTTCTACTCTAATGACTTTTAACTCATGAAGGTTTATTTAGCAGAAGAGGAACGGAGCATGTTATCTTGTGCCTAATCCCTCTTGAATGTTTACATTGCTCTGCCAGGGCTAGCACTGTGAAGAGTGGCAGCAGCCATTTGCTCTGGAAGAGTCCATATGTGGCTGCCAGAGCTGATGGAAACATATTAACATAAGTGATAATACTGTCATAGAAGTGAAAAGTTAAATTGCTTATCAGTATATTGTGATAAGCTACTTAAATTTTACAGTTAGCATGTTCTGGCTTCAGACAGACGTCACAGATAGGAGCTCATGCACTTTATCTATCCTCTCTATTACCTCTCACTTCATTTATTATTCTCAGTGTTCAGCAGTAATCTATACAGGGTGCTGATCCCCTCTCCCAAGCAGGATGTCACATCTGGGCCCTGCCTTGGGTCCAGGCTATCAGTAACAAACACCATTTGTGTGGCAGAGTAGATGTGAGCAGACTTGAGCAGCAAGCTTCTCACATGCCTCTTCTCAGTAGTTTTGGAAACTTTGCTAAGAGGGAACAAAGCATGTAAAGTGGGGGCAGGGTGCTCATCTTGGAATAGGGATAATTCTCCCTAACCTTTCCATGGCTCTAAGGGCCCTTGCTATTTACTAGTCTTCATCTAGGTCTCTCTCTCTCTCTCTCTCTCTCTCTCTCTCTCTCTCTCTCTCTTTCTCTCTCTCTCTGTTTTTCTGTGAGTGTGTTTATAAGAATGTAGGGCCAAGTTCCATTGGTACTGAGGACACAGCGAAGGAAGATGTACTGCATTCTATGTGTCATCTGTTGAGAAAACATCCATGCCTATGAGTGCTATACTGAAGGAAGGGGCATTGTAGCAGTGGTATATGCATGAGCACCATGGAAAAGAAGGAATTGGGGCAAGAAGAGTGAGAGTTGGTCAAGATCCTGGGACGGGAGAGCCACAGAAGCCCTCCTGGACTGCTGGATCTTGTAGCAACAGGATGCTACTTTAGTAATTGTGCTGTATAGACTTGGATTAGTTTTGGGGGAGAAAAGTCAGTTTGTTTTATTCATTCATAATAATGAATACTACTTACTTAGTAGTAACATGTATCAGAGTAGGGAAAAACAAAAAGAAGGTTCTGTGAATCATATCCCTCCATTGGGGAGGCTCAAGTTTCTCAGAATCCCTTGTCCCTTCCCACTTTGGTCATTTGGTGGGGGGAGTAAGAGGGCAGAGGCAGGACTTGAGTGACAAAACTAACAAAACTACAGAAGGCACTAGTGGGTCATTTGTATCTTGGGCTCCCAGGGAGGACCAGAGGCTCTGACGTCCTGGCCTAAGCTCTCTGTTCCCCTTCATGACTTTGTTCTTTACCTGGTTACCTAGGTGGCCTCCAAGCCTCCTTGGGCTTTGGTACTGGTGTCGGATGTGCTGGGTCTGGGCCCCACATGTGTTCTCTCAGACAAATATCTATGTCCTTGCTGCTGGGGGCTCAGGGTCCCTAGGTCTACTATACACACTTGCTACACCCAATTCCCAGGCCATCCTTCTTCACTTTGTCATTTTGGTCATGAGAAGTGAGTGCCAGGAAGGAAAGAAGGGCCAAGGGGAAGAAACCTCAGGCTGCATATCTTTGACTGCCTGTGCAACTTTGCCCTGTCTGGCCAGGTCCATCCAGACTTCCATTTTTGGTAGACCATTCCCATAGCCATACAGAGGGCCAATTTCAAGAGTGAGCTCTGCTGGCAGACCATCCTGTGAATTAAGAGGAGCAATGACCTGCTGGATAGCAGAAAGAAGAGAGTTATCCATTCATGCTACAGCCAGTATAGCACAGGTGAAGTAGAGGTAGCAGGTCTAGTGTACTAACATGATTGATTTGTGTTGTGCAGGGCATGTGGGACACAGAGGCCAACAATGGGCATGTTGGGTTTTGCTCTGTGTCCAATCATGAGAAGTGGAGATGCTTTTCTAGAGAGTGTGGGATGGTGGGAGAGCACTAGCTACTCATGGTACCTCATTGCAGACTGTAGTTTAAATTTCCTCTATGTGAACCTGGTCTAGTTTTGAGGCACAGGAATACTTCATAATGAGCATATAATGTTCTGCCTCACATAGGCATGTTTTTTTATAACCCAGAAATAATTAGCATTTAAGCAGTTTTGGTTTATATCAGTCATGGCTAGAATCTTCAAAATGTAGAGAAAACCTGAAATGTTTTGGTTTTGACCTGCATGCTAACATTTCTTGTGTTTCTTTGTCTTTCTCAGCTACCTCCCCTGGTTCGAAGTGTTTTATAAGCTCCTTAACATCTTGGCAGATTACACAACAAAACAACAGGTATTTGTCTTTTTTTTTTAAAGAAATAGCTGTTTTTAACAAACTTTTTATGATTATGAAAGTAATATGTGTCTTATATTTCACTAAACCGTTTGTAAGAAAAAGTAATGCATGCCCATTGTAAAAAGGTTGGGAAATTCAGAAAATAATGAAAGGGGAAAGAAAATCACCTCTCACCTAGCATGCATTACCTGATCCCCAAAATAAATATTGCTAAAATTTTTAGTTGTTTCTTCTGGGTTTTTTTTCTTCTGAGGTAAATAAATAATACCTAGACTGTTCATGTTCCCAGTATTAATGTCAAATTTTCCCAACAACCCTGAAAGTTCATAAAATATTCAGTCATAATTTATCAAAGGCATGAAACTGAATTGCTGATGCCATGTTGCGAATCACTTAACTAGAAAGTGACTTAACAGCTGCCACAATCCCCATTTTGATAAAGTTTTGTGGTATTTTTATAGTAATTCTTCTAAGAATCTGAAAATTCCTTTAGCAGTTCTTTCTACCTTAATTACATTTGGGAGAAATGGTGTGCTAACCTAAACCCCCACCCATGATGACAAAGGTGCTCGGGGTCACTATTTAAAATTTTGTAGCCCGCCTATTTGGGAAGTATTGTCACAGAATCGTTTCTTCCACTCTGTTGAAAATATTAAGTACTTTTTTATGGCTAACAGTGTAACCTGTACCTTAGCTCACCAAAACACTTTCTTCTTACAGTAGTAAAAAGGATTGGGAAGATGACTTGGTGGAAGGGTGCTTACTGTACAAGCCTGAGAACTTTAGTTTAAAACCCTAGCAAAAATGTGAGGACAAGAGGCAACTATGTGTGTCTCTGTTGACCTCAGCAGTGTGGGAGGTAGAGACAAGAGGATTACTGGACATGGTGGCCCAACCTAGGCAGACCTAGTGGTAGACCCTATGTGAAGGGAAAAAGATGTTATAGCAGGACACCCAATGTCTCCTCTGACCCTTGTAAAAGTCACACACACACACACGCACATATAACCACCTTACATATAGAGGGACCATACAGAAAGAGAGAGAGGGACAGCAGTCACTCAAATCTTTGAATATAAAATATTTTCTCCAGTTTTCATTATTTTTCTAAGAAGAGAATCCTAGATAGGCAGTTATAAGCTTCTTGTGGGCATAAGTATTTATAAAACATTTGTCAAACTACTTTCCAAAAGAATTGCACTATTTTTTTAAAGTGCATTCTTTGCAACACAATCAAGTCCCACACTGTCATTGATAACATTTGTTGAACTTTTCATTTATTTTATAAATGAAAAAATCTCGCCAGGCAGTGGTGGCACACACCTTTAATCCCAGCACTTAGGAGGCAGAGGCAGATGGAGCTCTGTGTGTTTGAGGCCAGCCTGATCTACAAGAGCTAGTTCCAGGACAGGCTCCAAAGCTACAGTGAAACCCTGTCCTGAAAAACCAAAAAAAAAAAAAAAAAAGTTACAAATCACAAATCTCACTATTATTAGTGAGTTGAATATTTGCCTGTGTACCTAACTTTCTTTTCTTTTCTCTTCTCTTCTCTTTTCTTTCTTTCTTTCTTTCTTTCTTTCTTTCTTTCTTTCTTTCTTT